ATAATAAAAATGATAATAATAATAACAATAATAATAATAGTAGCTTGCATTATAGAGCGCCTTTCAAAGACCCAGGGAGACTTTATATCGTTTTTAATTATCATTAAGTTCAAGAGAACAGGTGGAGCTGGGGGAGTTTTTGAAAAGGGGGATGGAGGACCACAGGCTTCTGAGTGGAGAGCAGGGGAGGAGGAGGTCAGGAGGGATTTGTAATCAGTTCTCATAGTTTGATGATGACACAAATAATAATAACAGATTCTGTATTTATGAGAGAACGCTTTATTTTGAAGGTTCGGGGCGGAAGTCCCGGGGTTTCCGGTGTCTCTCCGGTTCTCCGGTGTCCTGGCAGCTCTCGGGCTCAGACCGGAGCTCCGTTAAAGGACCGTTCATGGACGACTCTTCCCGCCTGAGGAGGTTTCATTGAAGCGGTTGAGAGAACGGAAGCAGAGCCACTCTTCCCCGGCCCGGCCATGGACGAGCAGGCGGGCCCCGGTGTCTTCTTCAGCGGCAACAACAGCCCGGGTCTGCCCGTCGGTGTCAGAGCTCCGCAGCCCGGTGACGGTGTCGGTGAAGCGGCCCGGGCTCACTACAGCGTCCCGGGGATCCTCCACTTCCTCCAGCACGAGTGGGCCCGTGTGGAGGTGCAGCGGGCGCAGTGGGAGCTGGAGCGGGCAGAGCTGCAGGTAAGCGGCCGACACTGAGGCTCCTTTGCCGGACAAGGTTTCGTTAGCTACGCTTCGCTGAACGCGGAGAACGTTGAGCCTAAGCGCGCTGAAGAATGAGGAGATTAATGGCGTCGCCGCTGATCGCTGAATTTATATTGAGGATAAAGAAAGACTCGTAATTTATTTTGAGTGTAAAAGACCCGAAGATGAATTCGGCCTTGTTGTGGGTCAGTGAACATCCAGACTTCTGGACATCTTTCCACTTTTCTGGACGCTTCTCTCTGGTTGACGTTGCCTGTGGAGCGGTTGTGTTCACACTGAATGACGCACATTCACAACGAGGTTCTGCTGCGACACAGGCTCATTAGCTCCATCAGTTCAAAGCCGAATCACAGAGCGAGTCCATCTGAATCCAGAACAAGTTTAAAATAATGTTCCTGGTGTTTGTCGAGCAGGACGAGATATAATCTCCCAATATTTACATGTAGTCTGGACAAATTCTGAGCTTCATTCATTTCCTTCATGCTAACAGGTCAGCTGTGTGCGTGTGTGTGTGCGCGCGCGTGTGTGTGTAGAAAGTTCATATTGAGATAAAACCACGTGATCGACAAAAGCCTGGAAACACAGAAACCTGTTGATTTGAATAATGGAGTGAAACCTCAGTGGACTCCGTCCCCTCAGTGGACTCTGTCCCCTCCGGCACAGGACGTCTGTTGATGAACCTGTGCACTTATAATTAAACCTTTAATTTCATGTAGCTGTTCTAAAGGACACAACACATTTACACACACGCTTCATTAAAAGTCAAACTGATGGACTTTGATCAAATACATTTAGTTTCTCTCCTGCTCTCATGAAAGACGTCCAGATAAACAGATGCCACGGAGCCTGACACCAGGAGGGATCATGTAGGACACGCAGGACGAATAATCAGACCCACCTGACCACATGACAGTGAAGCAGCGAGATCGTCGTCATCGCTCAGCGAGAAGTTTCATGCTCTGATGACTCATCAGCTGACCAGTGGTGTGATGACAGTGTCCATCGAGGTAATCGCTTCCTGTGAATTAATGATGTCAGACACGCCGCCGTCCTGCTTGTCCTCATGCTGCACCTCTGGATTTAAATGTTTCCCCCCATTGAGCCTGGAGACGATCGGAGCGGGGTGGAGTCGGCTGACCGAGGGCGGCTGGAAACCAATTTTCTGTTGTGAATCCATTTGTTCTGCCGCTGCTGTGGTGTTCAACACTGCAGATGGACTGAGAGTGACTTCCTGTGAGGAAACAGGACAGCGAGTTTCCTAAAGAGGAGGAGGAACAGTCAGACTGATGGAGGAGCGACGATCACACAGGGACAGAGACTGCACATAATTCAAACATGCTTTATTATTATATAATTCGGTGGCCGACTGAGGTCAAAGGTCACAGTGAAAACATGAATGTAGAGGGAAACGTCTCTGGTTGGTCGAGACAAACAACCCGAGGGAGGTGACGGACTAAATCTGATGATTCAGTTGATTAGTTCATCGATTACTTTGTCAATCAGTGAATCGAGAGATTTCAACTCAGTGTTCATCACCTTTAGTTAGAAACATAATTCTCTGTGTGATATTAACATGGAAATATATCACGTCTTATTTTCAGATTTTGAAAACTACCTCTCTCTGATCACATGGGAATTCTGGGTAAATCTACAACAAACCATCTTCATGCACCATTACTATCGGTCAAAGTTTGCGCCATGTCCCATCTACTAACATAGAGGGTTTATAAACATGTTTCATGGCTAAGAGAAGAACTCATTTTTTAAATCTCTTTCTTTAACATTGTGACATAAAACATTTCAATATTTTCTGTGATCGCTCAACGAATAATTCATGATAAAACAATCCCACACATTTAGAGGAGATCTGGTCCAGACTGAATTTGAAGGACTGTTGGTGGAGGTGTGAGCTCTTCTAGAGATCATCTAGAGATGTTCTAGTTTTGCTGAAGCAGCTGTTTGGCTCTGTTCAGTCCAGGAGCCTCCAGGTGTTTATTACTTTTTAAAATTGTATTAAAATGGAGGATTTCCCTTCAGGAAACACACACAGAAGCTTTCAGGAAGCGGGATCTCCGACATGTTTTGGACGTTTGCCCGGTGAGGCTTCGTCCCATCTGGCTCCGGGTTTACTCTCAGCTGACCTTTGACCTCCTGGCTCATCACTTTCTTCCAGTCATTAAAAAATCCTGAAGTGTCTCTGGTGTGTAACTGTCCAGAAGCCAGTGTGGACGAGAGCGTCAGCTGATGTCAGCCTGTGGTTGGAGGTCAGAGTTTGGAAATGAAATATGTGCACAAATATGTATCGGGTGAGGTAGCAGGTGGTAAAAACGTGCACGTTGTACCACCAGAACATATCCACTAATCAAACTTTATTTATGCAGCACCTTTCACGCAGGTTACTGCAGTTCAGAGAGCTTCACATGTGATTGACAATCTGATAATAAGACATGAGAAGAAATAAAAGCTGCTCAGAAAGAGATGTGCACCATCACTGCTGGAGCGTAAATTCTCCTGCTTTCTCCACCGCCTTGTTTTCGCAGCCTATTTCCTTCACTAATTAAAGTGCGTGCGTGCGTGTGTGTGCGTGTGTGTGTGTGTGTGTGTGTG